ATCGATTTTTTGAGATATTAAGGTTTCTTTGTGCCCGTTTTCCCGTTTCGCCGTGACATCTTCCTCTCCGAGGTACATAGGTCAGAACTCATAAACACCCACTATAGTTGGATTATTTTGAGAAGTCTTTGTAAACAATGTCATTTATTTGCGATCATGGCCATTTTGCCTCTACTATAATATGAATGGACCTAGCTTAGTTAATACACAACTTAAAGGAATAAAAGCCCATAAACTTATCTAGCCCAATTAGCCCATGAGGCCAATAAGTCCAAGAATATACTATTATTATAGATAGTATTGGAAAGGTTGGGGAGAACCCCCTCTCTCTCTCTCGACCACACACAAAAGAAACACATACTACAGTACAAACACACACTCTCCAAGCTGCCTCTCTCCACAAACACACACATCCACCAAGAACACACACATATAGATGTTAAAGTAGGTGACCAACAAGCCAACTTGTGAGTGTGGTTTTTCATTTATTCTTGTAATAAATAATCATTTTTCGTATTAATGATGAAACACCTTTTGACATTCTATATCTTTGTCCCTTGCATAAGCATAGATATAGTCCTTACAGTTATTATAATTACTTATATTTGATCTAGTAGGATCATGAGATACTTAATTACTTAAGTAATATAACTGTTAAACCATGTTCCTAGTTGACGGGTTACGCCACCAATCAGGATATCGGCCTTTCCCATTAGAGACTAGCACTTAGTGTATGATACTGCGTCTCATCAGTAAATAGTTGTGATATCGGCATACATAAGTGGGTGCTCGTCCAAGAAATATCTAAATGGTTCCCAATAATTGGGTGATCTCTATGATATAGTTGTACTCCATTAGTCATTAAGACATAGACATCACCGTGACTTCACTAGAGGACCAGCTGTATCGTGACATGTCCCTGAGTTCCACCGAGGACCGCCCCAAGGGCCAGTGTTCGTGCAGTCGGAAATTTAGTGGGATGTCTGTGCATTGTAGTCGGAGATTCTATCTCTAGAATAGTTTTTGATATCCTGTTTGTTCTCATAGTTTGTAATCATTAAGTCTCTGGCAAGAGATGACTAAGGGATGATTAGGGAATGTGATTCTCTAAGTCATGCACGTACCGAAGACAACACTTAGAACGATCGCACAATTATTGGACTATGAAGGAGGTCTCGATGAACCAATGCCTCTAGGGACGAGTATAAACCACAAAGCGTTGTGAGCCCACGACTAGCTTACACCTGAACCATCGAGAGTCACAGTGCTTGTGTACTCGAATTCACTGAATAAACGATCAATGATAAAAATGTTTAATCTTTGCATGATTGGAAGTCAATACGATTTAGTCCAACATTCATAATTGGGAATTACGAATGAGAATAAGAAAAAGGAAAGAACTAGGCCATTATCTTAGTGAACTTTCCAAATTGGTAAGTTTCCAAGTTTAGCAGGTTTACTAAATTAGGGTTTCCTGTTTTAGAAATTGAAAATCGATAATTGGCACTCGCATCGACGTGGACGTTTCAATAATTCTGAAAATATAATTATTATGATCTTCCGATCATTAGTTTGTGAGAAACGAGCACAGAAAGACTAACGGGCTTAAGTTGTTGGGCCCGGTCCAACTTAAGCATGTTCGGGCTTGTAAACAAGACTCTATAAATACAAGATTTATAGGTCTTGCACACAAGCAATAAACCCTAGCCGCTCCACACTCACGGTCGCTGCCCTCCTCCGCCGTCGTCGCCGGAATTCAGCTCTCACGCGCCCTCTCAATATTCGGTAGCCTCATTCCTTGTTTTATTCTTCCGTTTATACTAACTTTTGCGTGTCTAATGCCACGTAACAGTTGTATTCGGTATACCAGGTAAAAAATTACTTGAGGACATATTATTCAATCACTTGCTTTATGGTATAGATGTTCTTGCAATCCTACTAAATATTACTTGAGGACATATTATTCAATCACTTGCTTTATGGTATAGATGT